AAACTAAGAACCCTGCCTGATTCTGCAGATCCCACTAATGAAGACACTTACTGCCAAGAATTTCTGTAACCGCTTCTTGAGTCACTAGCGTTTCTGTTTCCAAATACACAACAAATGCTGCCAAGAAGACCAAGCGCTGCAACGCAAACCTCCAGTGCTCATGAAATCTGCAGGAAAATAAGCACACTTAACCGCCAAGGCTACAGACCTTCGGAGAGATGGGCTTTATACAGTCATGTTCAAACAGTGCAGAAATAAGATCATTTTTCAAATAAAATCTTATGCAAACCCGCAATATATGAAGAGCAATATGACATTTACTATAAATTTTACAAGTTCAAATTTATAACAATTATTTAAGTTTAATCAGTGAGCAATATGGTCTAATTTTGATGAATATGAAAATTTACACCAGGCTTGGTGGCTCATGCCTGTAATCCCAGCACTTTGGGAGGCCGAGGCAGGTGGATCACCCGAGGTCTGGAGTTCAAGACCAGCCTGGCCAACATGGCAAGACGCCATCTCTACAAAAATAACAAAGTTAGCCAGGCGTGGTGGCACACACCTATGGCCCCAGCTACTCAGGAGGCTGAGGTGGGGGAATCGCTTGAACCTGGGAGGCAGAGGTTGAAGTAACCCAAGATCACACCACTGCACTCCTGCCTGGGCAACAGAGTGAAACTCCACCTTAAAAAAAAAAAAAAAAAGAAAGAAAAATTACAACTGAAGATTACAGATGACAGGAGCAATCGTGCTAAGTTTAATCAGTAAGAACAATGATACTGCTCTGAGAAAAATAAAAATTCGCAACTGACAATTGAAGACAACTGTAGTCGACTTATTCCTACATTTTGATTTGAGTGCAGGATACCAAGAAAATTCTGATTCACAAAATTGCCATTTGCAATCACTAAATAAACGGACTTAAAGTGATAGAATACTGAGCTAGAAGCCTGAAAAAAGAAAAGGACATTTTACAACCTGTAGATAGTTACACTGTGCCTCCTGATTTTCAAATGTGGGAATATACGTTCAAAAAAAGTCTCAACACAATGCAGGTCACATAAACGCTTCTCAAGGCCAAATCTAGCCAGGAGGCAGCCTGTGTGTGTCCTCCAGAGATGGTCTCTAAAGACCCCGCTAGTTCTACTGTCCTACCTTTCTCTGTGCTTCAGTTAGGACAGCAGCTTTCCCTGACCCTTTCAGCACCAGGGACTGGTTTCAGGAAGACAACTTTCCCACAGAAGGTGGGGGAGACGGTTTCAGGATGAAACTTGTACCACTTCAGATCATCAGGCATTAGATTCTCATAAGGAGCATGCAACCTAGACCTCTCGCATGCAGTCAGCATTAAGGTTCTCACTACTATGAGAATCAAATGCTGCCACCAATCTGACAGGAGGTGGAGCTCTGGCAGTAATAGGGGGTGATGAGGAGCAGCTGTAAATACAGATGAAGCTTCACTCGCTCACCCACCACTCACCTCCTTCTGTGCACCCCAGTTCCTAACAGGCCACAGACCAGTACCAGTCCACAGCCTGGGAGCTAGGAACCCCTGCCATACAACAAGGATCGACAAATTTTTTCTGTAAAGGGCCAAGCAGTAAATATTTTAGGCTTTGTGGGCCACTTTCAGTGTTACATCTTCTTATCTGGGAGTTTTCTTTTAACAACTATTGAAAAAATAAACGTAATTCTTAGCTCCCAGAGGCAGCAGCCACCAGTGGTTTGTCAACCTCTGCCTGAAAGAGTATTCTCGCTGGGCGCAGAGGCTCACGCCTGTAATCCCAGCTACTCATGAGGCTGGGGCAGGAGAATTGCCTGAACTCAGGAGGCGGAGGTTGCGGTGAGCCGAGATCATGCCATTGCACTCCAGCCTGGGTAACAGGAGAGAAATTCCGTCTCAAAAAAAAAAAAAAAGAGTATTCTCGTGAGGTTATACTATCCACCCCTGAAAATACTCATCCTATTTACTGTTGATACATATGTCTTAAAATAATGTCTTTTTCTGTAAGAAAATTAAAATAGGTAGAAATTCTTCAGTCAGATGCAGTTTTTTCCCAGTTTAACAGCTATGAAACCAGGATACATTTCACAATCCATCTTTCACAGTTTTTTTTTTTTTTCTGAGATAGAGTCTCACTCTGTTGTCCAGGCTGGAGTGCAATGACGCAACCTCAGCTCACTGCAACCTCCGCCTCCCAGGTTTGAGCGATTTTCCTACCTTAGCCTCCCAAGTGGCTGGGATTACAGGCGTGAGCCACCACACCCAGATAATTTTTGTATTTTTAGTAGAGATAGGGTTTCACCATGCTGACCTGGCTGGTCTCCAATTCGTGACCTCAGGTTCTGCCCCCCCGCTTGGCCTCCCAAAGTGCTGGGATTACAGGTGTGAGCCACCTTGCCTGGCTCATGTTTCACGATTACGACTGGCAACATTTTCCTTTCCTACATAAAATAATGGTGTATCTTAAAATTAACACTGCTGTAGATTCAACAAGAAGATGTGGCATAAAATATTAGCTATATATGTCACTTGGCAGTGACATTCAAGCTTCAAATGAAAACTCGACACTATTTATATATACCGTCACCTAATCTCATTACCTCACTAACTATAGTTCATCCAATTTCACAAGAAACTTAAATACAGCAAAAATATATTCTTTTGACCTTCATACCACATTTTTGCATTGCTTTTTCCCTGCAAAAGTAATACATGTTCCTTAAGAAGATTTAGAAAGTGAAAAGAAGAAAAAAAAAAAATCCCAAATTTTTGTCATGACCATTATTAGTTTGGTTCTTCTCTTTTTGTTTCTCCTACACATTAGAATGTTTACCTAGTTGTAAGCAATCATTTGGTACATATAATTTTTCTCCTTTTCTTTACTTAACATTATGAAATGCTATTTTTGTTACAAACCTGTAATACTGTTCAGCAGGAAACTTGGTCTTCAAAGATGTTAGATGTGTTTTTACTGTACCAAAATGTTCTTGAGCTTTCAAACACCTCTTTGGAGCTACTCACAAAAGATAACCAAATGTAATCATGAAAAACTTACCAAATTTCAAATACAGTTCTCGCTTAATAATCTAAGTAATCTATCTGGAAATGGATCAACTTTTTTTTAACCTCACAACAAATGTACACATCTCTGCTTTTCAACCTGGTTCTCAAAATATCGTCCCTAGTTTCCCTACTAATTAGCTATACTGAAAAATAAACAAACAACTTGTTAAAAGGGAATATATTAGGAGACACATTGGTAATTGGCTAAGTTGTCATAAATAACATCATCCTTCAGGGGCTGCGCACCAGCCGCTACCCCTGTTCACTCCAGAGAGAATACTTAACATCGGATTGCTCCTTCTTCCCGTATGTGACAGAATAAAGCCTTTATCAACTATTCACAATCAAGATGACCAACTCTATATCATCGAGAAAAATGACTTGCCTCTGGCATGTGTCAATGCATTATTATATCATTCTTGTAACTGAAAATATACTTCAGCTCTTTTAGCTGTGCTGGCTATGCCTTACAACGAAGGTTCCATGTCTAAACTTGACATATTTGACTTTCATTCACAAGGTTGACTGTAAAGACATTGATTTGAGAACACTTTATGCTGTTAATCTCCTATTAAAAGGTATTTAATGCAAATCAACAGGAAGTTGGGAAAAAAAAAGGTATTCAATCACTGAAAGGCTGGATACACACACACACACACACACACACACACACACACACACAGGGACCAAATAAAAGTCACTAGATAACACAAAGGAGTTACAAACCCTTTTTATGCTTACCCTGAGAAGGCTGTGCTGGCAGAAAGCTGCACTTTTTTTTCTAAACAGGAAATGGGTTAAGCAATTGTAATTATCATCAGTAGAATGCTATCACAACAGAGAAAACATCTCTATTTAAAACATACCATGTGGAAGTGGAAAAATCAAAATTACCAAATCACCTACTTCTTCAATTTGTATTCACCATAAAGCATGATGGACATTTTTCATTATAAAATGTCGTCTAGATAGAAACTCTCTACATAAGAGATACTTGGATACAAAACAAAGAATTTACTGTCCTGAAACCCAGCACCCTGATGGACCCCTTGCAGTAAAGTCAAAATCTCTCAAGCTGTTTGTTCTAAACTCTGTACAACTTTTCAGATTTCCTAGAGAAAAGTAAAAAAAAATCAGATACTCAACACAATTACTGTCATACACTCACATCAAACACATTAGATAGTATATGTGATCTACCATAACCAAGTTGGAATCCTGACTTTTCCATTTATTTCCTCTGTAACACTTCAAAAAGTCACTAAAAAGCCTTAGATTCCTGAGGTAGCCTTTAAAGGATAACAGCCACGCATTCACCCCAAGTATCCAATTGGAACATTATCAAATGGATGATGTGTGTCAACATAATTTGTAAGATGAAGAGTTAAATGCAATA